ACCCTCAAACCCTCGTTCATCAGTAACACTGTAGACAACCGTGTTGTATCCATCTCCGGCGTGTTCCAGGTATGCCATTGTGCCCCGTCTTTGCCTCAGTGCTGCACGGAATTAACTAGCTCTTAAATTATTTGAGGTAACTTACATGTAGCAAACACATTATTTTTCACAAGGTCAAGTCAACATGAAAATTCTAGTGTTTCATTTGTTTTGTTCTTCCTCAGCTCCTTTTTATGCGGTTTTCTGCCGACGGTGTTGTGGCGAGCGACGGATGATTTTGCCTCACATAATAAAGCTGTTTGAGCCAAACACAGCACTTGTATTGCTTTTGTTTTTCTTTGTGGGGAAATTTGCATGTCTGTTGTAAGTGTAACATCTAAACTCTAATCATTTTATTTATGATCGATAAGTACAGATCGCCCTAGTCCTTATAACAGATAAGAAATGTTTGATGAACCTAAGTCGGAAATGAAGCAGCATTATGAGTTGCAATTTTCAAGCCACGCATGTCCAGAATGCAACTGCCATAAAGACTACTACTCCCTCCCTTTCTAAATACTCCCTCCGTCCGAAAATACTTGTCATCAAAATGAATAAAAGGGGATGTATCTAGACGTATATTAGTTCTAGACACATCCCTTTTTATCCATTTTGATGACAAGTATTTTCGGACGGAGAGAGTATAAGCCTTTTTAGAGATTTCAATATGGGTTGCATACGGAGCAAAATGAGTGGATCTACACTCTAAAATACGTCTATATACATACATAGGTAGTCTATATTGAAATCTCTAAATAAAATTATATTTAGGAACAGAGGGAGTACAAGGCAGTCAAGATGAGGTATAAATAGATGCTTCTCATCTTGTGATTCAGTATCAATATATCAAGAAGAATTTTGCATCAAGCTGAGCAGACCATTTAGACAAAAAAAATTGTTTTGCCTGGCCTTTGTTTCTGTCAGGGCGGTTCTTTTCTCCAGCAAACTTCCTGGGTGGTGCGATCAGACAGGCAAACTCGAAGATTTGAAACACAGACACTGCAACAGGGTAAGAGAAGATGCAACAAAAGGTGTTATCCCCTGGTTTTAAACCAAGCTCAGGTCCAACTACTCATCCAAAAGAATGCCCAGCAGTTAAAATCCATTTTCATGAGTTTCGCCAAACAACAAACACGCAGGCTTCCAGTACAGTACCAAAGGATAGAAAGCTGGAAACTGAATATGGTGGTAACAACTAATAGGACTGTCGTTACAGACATATTCAGAGAGACATGAGGCTTCAGACCACCATCACAAGCGAGCATGTGTCAGATCTCAAGCGCTGTCACGGGTGGAAACTGGAGAGTCCGCCTGGTTCCGTGGTAGACCGAGGCAAGGGACGCATAGGCTTCTGGAAACTGAAACCTATACAAAACATGACGATGCAATAAGTTTGGTTTCAAATTCCAAGATCTCCACTAACATAGACGGATAATAGCTTGGCGAGCAGTTTGATGTAGAAGAACTATCATGCAACTTGAACAAGTGTTTTTTTTCTCAATGTGGCATCGACCAAATTTTATTTTTTTTACACAAAAGTTTAGCATTGTGACAGCAACATATTACATATATGATCACTCAGATACATCAGCACTCAAGAGGGTTTCAGACTTCAGACACTAGTGAGACAGGCATGCAATTTGGCCATCAAACACTAGTCATGAAACTGACAACAGGCTAGTAACAACAGTGAAACAAATGAGGCAGTACACTATCACCCCTCAGTTGAAGATTTTTACAAAATTTAATGTGTCAACTAGAACAAGAGCAAAGATAAAACTCAATTTCAAGACGAAAATGACTACTATTTCCATCAGTAATTAAACAGTAAAAGAACACAGGATCAAACCCAAATGATTTTTGCATGGATGGAACAGATTTACAGACACAACAGATTTATAGGCACAACGGCAACGGTAACTATTGTATTATCACCAGTAATAACAAAGCAATTAATTTCGGTGAAACCTAACAGTCGTTCTGAACTACGCCAGCACACAATCCAATAATGGACACTGAATATAAATAGATTTCAAAAGGGTCTCATAAACTCTTGAGTGTTATTTAATTCCAACAGAGATGATAAAACAAGTAGGAATATCATAGGAAAAAATAAAAAAATGACAAAGGTTGCTTACGGTGAGTGATGCTAATTTGATCACGAAGTATGCCACATTTACTCAAGAACTTCAGAATTTTGTGAACTCCCTCATCGACCTTTCTACATTCAATGTTGACAACCTTAAGGTGCGAGCATACAAATGATTGCTCTATCTTTTCTTCTGCTCCTGTTGCTCTAACGAATTTCTATGATACAATTTAGTTAGATCAACAGAATATACATAATAGTTTCTTTAACAGTACAACAATGTCTTCATATATATATAGGTTATACCTCAGTGCTACCAAGCTGAAGAGTGAGCACCTCAAGAACTGGAGAGTGTTGGAGAATGCACAGTAGGTCAATAGTCGTAAACCACTCATTGAGTGATAGAGTCTTTAGTTTGTCAAATATGGGGCAGCATTCTAAATCCCATCTATAGATAAACTGCACAAATAGCAAGCAAACAAAATGGAACTTTAAGACTCTAGAAGAAATAATTTCCGGTAGTAGGAACATTGGGTAGATACTTTAATTTCAAACTACCAAATAGCAAAGGAACAAAAAAGAACAGTGAGACTCAAGAAGGCGAAACAATTTAAGTAAGCAGGAAGTTTGGGACTTTGGGTAGATACTTTAATTTCAGGCATAAAGAAAGATAGAACTACAGCTCAAGCCCTGGAAATACATTTTATCCAATCAAGCTACAATGTTATTAAAATTATTAATTTAAAACCCATTGGTGGAGATAAAAGTAGCAACCTGTGGTAATGAGAACATGTATATGCAGGTCTAACAGTGGACAGAGATGTTACAGAGAATCCATGGGTGGCACATAACAACAAGAGTAAAAAAGGAAGTAAGTGTAAATGTACCAGTTCGAAATAAGTATCGCCTACCAACTCCAAATTCACAGCATTGGACAAACCATGGAGAAGCACACCCTCATCAACTGGATAAGCATGATAGCTACAGTCCTCATACTCACAGTTCTGCCGGTTACTATGACAAGAATCATAGCAACTATTGTGAAGCCAAACATAAGCTGTTTCTAGAGATGGCATGTATTCAAGTGAAGGGGTCAAGCCATCAAAATTATCAAGTTGCAGTGAGATAAGACCCGGAGAAATATCCGAATGTGAAACTTCGTAGGGAAGGAACAAAAGTCGGTAATGCAGAGACGCTTTAGCGATTTGGAAGATATCCTGCGTGCATCAATGTTGCAATCTTGCATCTCTAGTTCCTCCAATACCGAGCAGCGCGAGAAATTCAGAGTGGAGCGTTTTAATTCAAACCGCTCAAGGTGTAGGATCTTCAAGTGCTGAGAGATGAGAGGCGCATCAAGTATTAGTGGCTCAAACTCAAAGTCTTTGTCAACAGCAACACTGAGTAGGAGCTCCTTAACTTGGCACTTCAGAGCGTACTCGATCAACAGAATGGTATTTGTGTATGTGCGCTCCTCCACGTCATCGAGACAGGCAACAATCTTGCACTTGTCGAGAGGTGAGTTCCCACGGATGTGGATGAAGAGCTTCACCAGCTGTTTGAAACGTTCAGAGCTCGGGAAACTCGACTGGTCAAAGATGAGGGGCAGGCTGGTGGTGCGCCTCCAATGGTCACGCCACCCAGTGTCGAGCACGCAAGTCTGCAGGGCATCAGCAGCAGGCAGAAAGGACAAGACGTGCCGGAGGAGGTCGTCGGTGAGGTCGCCGAAGTGACCCTTGCCGCTCGCCGCGGTCTTGTTGAGCATTCCGTCGAACAGGTGACGCGCCCTGCGGGAACGGAAGGAAGAAGGAATCAGCAGAATAAAAAGGGGGGAATGCAGCATCACCAGATCGGGGAATCCAGCAGGCAGCATCACCTGAGCTCGACCCGTGAATCCAAGAGCAGGCGGGCACCGATTTGTCCGGCCCAAGTCAGCGCCGAAGTCTCCAAGCTCGTCGAGGAGCTCCCGCGGCCAGGCCCTGCCCCGATTTCTTCCGGAGCCGCCGCGCCCGTGAGCGAGAGGGGGGTGGGGCAAGCAGACGAGCAGTTCGAGGGCGGAGCAGGTGGGGCGGGATTCAACAGTGAGGAGGAGGAGCGCCGCCGCGGGTGGATACTGGAAAGTGAAAATGGCCGCGGCGTTGGCGCTGTGGTGACGGATGCATAATCCTATTTTGTCTAATGTGTTTGGTTGCCCGTACCGATTTGGCCGTGTTTGCATAGACGTCTTCAGATGGGTTTGACCGAGAAAAAACAGCCTATAAACCATCAACTGCGCATTGTTTGGTTACCCGTATATAGATTAGCTTTATGGGGGAACAAATGTTGACCGTTATTTGGTTGGCCGCATAGTATTAGGCGTACATAGAACACGCTATTTGGTTGCAACATGCATTAGATGGTGTCACAACTTCTCACTAGTGATGACCTTACCACACACGATTTTAACAGTTTCACTCCTAGCTACGAACAAATTACGGTTCATCCTAGCTATTATCAAATGGCAGTACACATTATTAAGAGCCAAATGGCCGAATGGAAAAAGTTCATCATCCCTCTTCTTTCTCTTACCTCTTCCGTTGTTCCTTTTGTTCCTGTTCGTTTTCCTCTTCTTTGGTTGTTGCTTCCTCTTCTGCTACTGCTCTTGCTCTTCTTCTTCTTCAGATCCTTGTCTGACTTCTGTTATCCCATACTGTATGTGCCCATTTCAGCCTTTTGTTCTTTCAGGCTTCGTTGTCAAATGCCTCAACACCATGGCCATCAAGGTCAAGATCCTTAGGCGTCACCTCTTCCTCCTCGGACACAAGTTCATCAGTGCCCCATTGGAGGATCCAAGTATGCAGAATGCAACATGCAAGAACAAACCTGGCCTAGGTAGGGTAAGGGTGGAATGGCTTCTGATCCAGAATCTTAAACCTGTTCTTCAGAGCTCCAAATGCCCTCTCAATTGTTACTCTAAGGCTGGAGTGTCTGAGATTGAACAGTTCCTGGGGAGTCCTAGCATAGTTCCTATCAAAGAACTCGTTCAGATGGTATCTAGTTTTCCTGAAGGGTGGAAGAACACCTGGCCGACATGCATAGCCAGCATCTCCTAGGTAGAACTTGCCATCAGGGATGTTGATGCCATCAGGACGACTAATGTTGTCACTAAGTATGTTAGCATCATGTGATGACCCTTCCCAGCCAGCCAGCACATAGGTGAACTTCAGATCAAAGTCAACAACAACAAGCACATTCTGGCTTGTGTAGTGCTTCTTCCCCCTGAATGTCACAGCTTGTGACCTCGACACTCTGACAGTGACATGAGTACCATCTATTGTCCCAATGCAATCCTGAAATGGCAATACAATATTGTGTTAGTGCTCACCTTGAACTATCCAAGCATATCAAGCAATGAACTACGTACTTTAGTGCTCACCTTGAAGTATGGATACCATCTTGGGCTTGTGCAAATCTTGGTAGGAGTCCAGCCAGTTGGTGACTTGATCATCTCTCTGATGTCTACTACGCAACCTTTTTCTTGTAGACGTTGTTGGGCCTCCAAGTGCAGAGATTTGTAGGACAGTAGCAAATTTTCCTTAAGTGGATGACCTAAGGTTTATCAATCTGTGGAAGGCGTAGGATGAAGATAGTCACTCTCAAACAACCCTGCAACCAAATAACAAAGAGTCTCTTGTGTTCCCTACACACCCAATATAATGGTAAATTGTATAGGTGCACTAGTTCGGTGAAGAGATGTGATACAAGTGCAATATGGATGGTAGATATAGGTTTTTATAATCTGAAAATATAAAAACAGCAAGGTAACTAATGATAAAAGTGAGCACAAACGGTATTGCAATGCTAGGAAACAAGGCCTAGGGTTCATACTTTCACTAGTGCAAGTTGTTTCAACAATAATAACATAATTGGATCATATAACAATTCCTCAACATGCAACAAAAAGTCACTCCAAAATCACTAATAACGGAGAACAAACGAAGAGATTATTGTAGGGTACGAAACCACCTCAAAGTTATCCTTTCTGATCGATCTATTCAAGAGTCTGTAGTAAAATAACACGAAGCTATTCTTTCCGTTCGATCTATCATAAAGTTCGTACTAGAATAACACCTTAAGACACAAATCAACCAAAACCCTAATGTCACCTAGATACTCCAATGTCACCCCAAGTATCCGTGGGTATGATTATACGATATGCATTCATCTATTCAACCAACACAAAGAACTTCAAAGAGTGCTCCAAAGTTTCTATCGGAGAGTCAAGACGAAAACGTGTACCGACCCCTGTGCATAGATTCCAAAGATCACGAAACCCGCAAGTTGATCACTAAAACAGCTATACTCTTATATAGTGTACGAATAGGGAGGGATATAGACCGTTGGATCTTTATGATATGATGGCTTACATTCAATAGATGTAACTAGAGGACTACGTGGCCAAATATGCATCATTGCATAGGACAATTTGACGGCCCACATAGCTGTGATTCGCGGTGGGGGGGCATCGCTGCCCTGCCAGCCTTCCACCTGGTGTGGGAGTTAAAAAGATTACTTTAATGCACGTACATGTACCTTGTCTCAAAAAACAAAAGGTGTACCACCAATTTAACAAGTCCAGATGGAGGCCCTAATAAAAAAAGTCTGGATGCATAATTCGTTGCAAGCCTAAAATACAAGATACCAAAATATGGTGCATGCAGGAAGTGAATAAGAACCTTTCGAAAAAGAAAATAAAGAAGAAATTAAATTTTGAACAAATTTCTATTCTCTATAATTCGAGAACTTCTCATTTCTTAAGTTAAAAAAATGAACTTTTCATTTCTGAAGTAAAAAAAATTATTTCTTAATGAGCCAACTTACACACAATGATGCCCAAAAAATGTATACATCTACCCAATTTTGCATATAATGGATATACCTGATATCCCTATTTTGTTACTACCCTGAGATATCACATCTATTTTTTGATAGCATAGTTTGACCTGATTTTTTTAGGATCATTTTACGTGATAAATTATCCCCACCAAAAAACTGAAATTATGAAAAATATTCACTAATATGTTTTCTTAATGCAATCTTTTCAATCAAAGTTGGTACTACATGCGAAGCATGTGCCATTTGCTAGTACATCAAGTGAATCAATAGAATACCCCATTGTCATCACGGGTATCCCACGCAAGGCGTACATCAAGTGTTCTCAAATCCTTAAAGACTCAATCCGATAAGATAACTTCGAAGTGAAAACTCAATCCATTACAAGAGAGTAGAGGAGGAGAAACATCATAAGATCCAACTATAATAGCAAAGCTCGCGATACATCAAGATCGTGCCAAATCAAGAACCCGAGAGAGAGAGAGAGAGAGAGATCAAACACATAGCTATTGGTACATACGCTCAGCCCCGAGGGTGAACTACTCCCTCCTCGTCATGGAGAGCACCGAGATGATGAAGATGGCCACCGGTGAGGGATCCCCCCTCCGGTAGGGTGCCGGAACAGGGTCCTGATTGATTTTTGATGGCTATAAAGGCTTGCGGCGGCGGAACTCCCGATCTAGGTTATTTTCTCGAGATTTCTGTATTTATAGGAATTTTTGGTGTAGGTCTCACGTCACGGGGTCTCCGTGTCGTCCACGAGATAGGGTGGCGCGCCCAGGGGGTAGGGCGCGCCCCCCGCCCTCGTGGACGGCTCAGGACTCTTCTGGCTCCGGGGGCTTCTTTTGGTCCATAAAAAATCATTAAAAATTGGCATGTCAATTGGACTCCGTTTGGTATTCTTTTTCTGTAAAACTCAAAAACAAGGAAAAAAACAGAAACTGGCACTGGGCTCTAGGTTAATAGGTTAGTCCCAAAAATCATATAAAATAGCATATAAATGCATATAAAACATCCTTGATGGATAATATAATAGCATGGAACAATAAAAAATTATAGATACGTTGGAGACGTATCACTCTCCTCTGAGCTCCCCAACAGTGGATAACCCTGAACCTCTGGTTATAGCCAACAATATGAAGGAGCATGGCGACTTGCTCTCCCACACTGGTGTGGATGCTATCTTCTAGCAGCCCCTGGTCCTGAAGGCCTAAACAAGTCTGGCACATGGTGCTCTTTTCATTCTAAGGATCCATAGAGCCTATGTGTCGTTGTGGTTGTATATGTAGTTCAGATTGGCGATTCTCTCCTGCTCCCGCATAAGCATTCGAGCATATCTGTTGACAGTTCTCTCAGCATGACGAACAACTCTCTTGTACATGAACATGACATGTGCCTGAATCACAGCTATCAGTGCTCCTGTCAGGCCGAGGGCTGCTTTAAGCTTCGTGCGAATGTGACCAAGGTTGAGGGCTGCTTTAAGCTTCATGCGAATGCCAGCTAGCCCACTGCGTTCGCAACCAAACGCACATTTCGTGGTCCAACTGGGCCTGATTGCGATTTTGTGGGCAACCAAACGCATCCTTAGACTCTCACCTTACTTACGCCAACTGGTGCCTTTCTCTGAGAGTGCTTTCATCCAATTCAAAAGCATACAAGGCCATTATAGAATATACATTTTACATCTATACAAGGCCATCAGCAATAATCGAGGCAAAATTAACGATATTTCCTCGTACTAGTAACATGTTTAATACTTGTATGCATGTAGTCATAATGACAGTCAGCTATTTTCTCCACTCAGTTTCCTTGCATGCATAGTGGCAGAGCCAGGAAAATCAAATGAGGGGGCCCGAGGGCTGTTAAACTGTGTTGGGGAGGGCCAACACATGAAAATACACCATTTTAGCAACAGATAATCACTTGCTCACATGCACATTAGGCTAAAATGAGGGATGTTAGGGGGGCCAGGGCCCCTGCTGGTCCCCCTGTCTCCGCCACTGTGCATGCATGCGGCGTATTAATGATCCCGGTAAACAAAAAGAAAAGCCAACTTACAAAACAAGCATTAAATTTTATATTGATACCTGTAATCTAAGTGTGTGGCTTTGTATGTAAAAATGGAGGGATTGACTTTTTTTTGGTTAAGAATGTTGTCAGTAACCTGCATAAACATAAGGAGCCTGGTCTATTCATGCAGCTATACATCACGGGCGCCTTTAACTCGGTGTCTTGGATTTATTGACTGGAAGTTGGGAGATATGTGGATTTTGGCAGCTGGTGGTGTGATATCATTTGTTTGCTCTAGGCTACTACTTCCTCCTGGGGCATGGCTGTTGGGGAACGTTGCAGAAAATAAAAAATTTCTATGCTTCACCAAGATCAATCTATGGAGTCATCTAGCAACGAGAAAGAGAAGTGCATCTACATACCCTTGTAGATCGCGAGCGGAAGCGTTCAAGTGAACGGCGTTGATGGAGTCGTACTCGTCGTGATCCAAATCTCCGATGACCAAGCGCCGAACGGACGACACCTTCGTGTTCAACACACGTACGGTTGGGGAAGACGCCTCCTCCTTCTTGATCCAGCAAGGGGAAAGGAGAGGTTGATGGAGATCCAGCAGCACGACAGCGTGGTGGTGGAAGTAGCGGGATCCCGGCAGGGCTTCGCCAAGCGCAAGCGGGGAGGAGAGGTGTTACGGAGGGAGAGGGAGGCGCCAGGAGCAAGGGTGCGGCTGCCCTCCCTCCCCCTCTTTATATAGGGGCCCTGGCGGCACCGACCCTAGGAGATCCAATCTCCAAGGGGGGCGGCGGCCAAGGGGTGGCTTCCCCCCCAAGCCAAGTGGGGCGCCCCCCACCCCTAGGGTTTCCAACCCTAGGCGTAGGGGAGGCCCAAGGGGGCGCACCAGCCCACCAGGAGCTGGTTCCCCTTCCCACTTCAGCCCATGGGGCCCTCCGGGATAGGTGGCCCCACCCGGTGGACCCCCGGGACCCTTCCGGTGGTCCCGGTACAATACCGATTACCCCCGAAACTTTCCCGATGGCCGAAACTGGACTTCCTATATATAAATCTTTACCTCCGAACCATTCTGAAACTCCTCGTGACGTTCGGGATCTCATCCGGGACTTCGAACAACTTTCGGGTTACCGCATACTAATATCTCTACAACCCTAGCATCACCGAACCTTAAGTGTGTAGACCCTACGGGTTCGGGAGACACGCAGACATGACCGAGACGACTCTCCGGTCAATAACCAACAGCGGGATCTGGATACCCATGTTGGCTCCCACATGCTCCTCGATGATCTCATCGGATGAACCACGATGTCGAGGATTCAATCAATCCCGTATACAATTCCCTTTGTCAATCGGTACGTTACTTGCCCGAGATTTGATCGTCGGTATCCCAATACCTCGTTCAATCTCGTTACCGGCAAGTCACTTTACTCGTACCGTAATGCATGATCCCGTGACCAAACACTTGGTCACATTGAGCTCATTATGATGATGCATTACCGAGTGGGCCCAGAGATACCTCTCCGTCATACGGAGTGACAAATCCCAGTCTCGATTCGTGCCAACCCAACAGACACTTTCAGAGATACCCGTAGTGCA